GTAGAGCAGAAGTCAATGTAAAGTGAAGAATACGAAGATGGAGATATTTTTAGCTTAAAAACCATTTACTATAAGACGTGAATGAGGTAACCTAGTAAACTCCAATTGAAATTGATAAAGTGAAAGAAAAGCCCAATATGGAGAAGAAGAAGATCAATAAAGCGGTTAAAGGTCTGGAAGCTCTATAGAACTATATGAAGATATCAATCTTGTAGATAAAAATCGACGGGTGAAACATGATAATAAATAAAACAGACATTGGTTTAAATTACTAGACCATCCGGTATTTCATGTTTATATTTCTTAACTAGGGGTGTGGGATAGACTTACCTCCACGTGGTGCACCCTGGGCAACGTATATTCATACGGCAAAAAAGTATATTGACTGGCAGTTGACTTCTCACTTCAAACTACCATCACCTCACTCTATGCCATATTCGACTATTTCCACATTACTCACCTCACCTTTTTTCTACCTTTGTGTCTGTCTCTTTTACATCTTTGAAACACTCTTCTGTTCCCCCCCCCACATCTCGACTTTTTTCAATTTGATGTTCCTTCCCCTCTGTGAAGCCCCGAAGTCAGCTCCAGGACTAATGATAACCATCAAGGCGCCTGCCATTTGATATAAATAAATAAAATATTTCTAATATGACGTTACACTGCGAAAGCTTAGGTGGCTTCACATTTTGCAAATAAATAACAGAAGTTATAAACGATTTAGAAGGTATATAACGCCCATCTGGAACAATTAATGCACTTCAATGATTCTAAGCTAAGCAAAACAATAAGCTCTATAATAACGGGCAATATATACAGAAATTAATATCAAATGCAGTTTGTAACTTTGTAGAATACCAAAATTTTCCTTAGGTATTTCAAAAAAAGGTTTTAAACATGAAGACACTGTGAACAATATGAATAGTAACTTAGAATAAATTCTGTTAGATCAGGTGGATCACACGGGATTTCATAAACTAGAACATTTACTAAGCATCTCGAGGGCAGCTCAGTTGTATCGGTACCTTTAAAGGAAAGCAATTATTCGATATCCAACTAACACCGAAACGTAAAGGAAGAAATCACCCTAGTTTACCTATTTCCAAGGATACTCACGCAGCATAAACTAACAATGGCATTCTATCCTCATGCGGCACAAAATTGAGCTCAGGATTACAACATTGAAGCTTACGTCAATTCACGCGGAAATTCGTTCCAAATTGTGTTAGAGTCAGAGTTGCTACAACGCAAATAGGGTACCCATTACTTAAAAAATACCAACTTAATAATGCAACAGTTTCACCCCCAATTTGGAGTCTCCTCTAACCCCCCCCCTCCCCCCTCCATTTTCTAGTCTCAATGTAGAGGTCATGTCTATAATTATTAATTGACCAAATCAAATAATTGCGCAGGCTTCTATTAAATATGAGAAAGTGATGGCAACCAGAACTTACGGTAGACTAGAGAACAAGTTGCTCTCAGTGACTCCAGATACCACGGCAACGAGAGCACAAGCGAAGAGGAAAAGACCCATATAGACGTGAAGTGGAAGAACTTTCGCCCGAACCCTCATTGGAATGGACGGTACGAGGAAGGTAATTAAACCGATCACCCACTAAATTAAAAAAAATGGAAAAATATTTGATTACCAGTACTTAGGGAATCGAGTACTGTACAGCTAAACAGGGATGTTAGTAATAACTGAATACGTTTATTAAAGGCCTGACTAAAACGATGAGGTTTATTCCTTTAAAAGCCAACATATGTTGATTATGTATGCAAAGTAAAATACAAAAACAATTATCATTCATTTAAAGTAAGATTTGATCACAACTGCGCATAGGTATTCAGCTTACTCATTAAACCTTGTACAGAAATTATTGATTACCTTCAACGCAGTGATTAGAAGGTAAAATTAATTCAAGCAGTGCCAACAAACCCCTTGATTGTATAATTTTAGAAATATAAATACTGTAATTCTGCTTTGTTTTATTTTAATTATTTTCACTCAAATAAGTAAGTTTTTATCTTACAATTATCAAAAACTTCACAGGAAACAATAAATATTGACTGTATCATGAATAATGCAATGAAGAAAGATTCGTTCAATACATTAATTGGGATTCAGTAATAAATTCAATACAAATCAGTTATTTTCAAAAGCCATTTTACACATATTGTTACAAAATAATAAACGCGGGTATACAAAACTTAGCCACATACAACAGGCCCTTTTTAACCCCATGGCTAATCACCCCTAGACTCGAATAGTTCTCAGCTATTTTTAAACAGTCTGTAATAACAATAAAAAGGAGATTTTTATTATTAGAATTTAAACACGTTTATTTAAAATCGTATATACGAGTCGGACAATAAAGTTCTAGCGCATTTGAGAGAAAGGTATATTTTTGTAATATATTCTTTATTTTAGCATTTAAAACCCGCTGGTAACGCCCTCGAATTTTTGCCTGCAAAGAGTTTCTCTAACAAAAAAATCAGATTTATTAGGCAATCTGATTCAGCGTATATGCGAACTTTCGCAAAACCCCAGTAGTGAGTGGACAAATTAAATTAAGTAAAGCAAATGCAAATTTAACTTAGCTGCAAAATTTAAAAAAAATAAGCCCTCCCCCAAGTATTTAATTATCAGATGTTAATGAATTTCCATGTACCAAATAAAACAATCGATATATTTCAATTGAGTGCCAATTTCAAGTCTTTTGGTTGAACTTAGGTATTTTAAATTATTATTTTTTTCAAAAATTATTCGAAACCCGTGGAAGCTGACAATTTTTTAATCAGGTTCCTATAAATATATAAATATAACTTATTGCATCACTTAAGCAATATAAGGCGGTGAAATATAAATAAAATTCTGTTTCAAAAGGTTTCACTTCGAACGTCGTACTTCATATTTTTAACAGTAAAAGACAATTGTAGCCCAATCAAATCAACTTTAAGTGATGATTAGTTTTCTTATTTATAATTAAACTGAAGATGTTAAAAGTGTTCGCGTACCAACCAACTGCTGATAATGGTTAGATTAATTAAATATAGAGTATTGAAATAACTATTAATTGATCATTATCTAACCAACACCTTCTGGAATTTCAGTGCTGAAACACTGATTAAGTAAAAAACAAATATTTTAGAAAATCTGGAATTTAAATTGGCGCATTGATTTCTTCTTCAGCAACCCTATTGTTCTCTTTTTTCAAAGACATTAAAAGCTAACAAATTTTTTGCTATCTCAGATGTAATAATAACAGGAATAATCAATACATATAGTCTAAAGTTGGCACACACAACATGCTATTTATGGTTATGTTATTTATAAGATTTTAAACGTAATCTCATTTCTGACCATGATAATTTTATTAATCACCACTGTTATTCACCATTAACATGCATAAATAATTTATAGTGATAAAGTATTTCAACTTCAGATCGGTTATTTCAAATTAACGCCTTATAAGAAGAAAATTATCCCACTTCAGAACCCTGATACTCACCTGAATGGCGAAGAGTATAACAGTAACCAAACCGACCCAGCTATGAATGCTGTACATATCAGGAATTCCGCGAATACTGTGGGAGTCAAAAGCTGCTTTCAAGCCAACAACTGAGAAGAGAAGGCTCAAAATCATCAGAACTCCATGGATTGCCTTGAGGGGTAGCTTCGGACACATATAGAAGACACGATAAATCAGCATAGCTAAAATGACGATTAGAAATGAATGGGATGACTAAATAATGAATATCGTGCAGTCAGTAGACCCTACATATATATATATATATATATGTAATATTTTATGTTACATAATTAATTGTTTACTTGCCTTCATTAAAAAACCAAAAGCTCGGTTTTCATTTTTCTTTGCAGTGGATAAAAAAATGGGATTCAATTCCTAAATTTTAAATTAGCAAGAAATAAAATCGGCCTATTTCCAAAAATACATTCAATATTATCGAAATTGCTAGTTAAAAGAGAGCTTTTTATCTGACACGTTCGACTTTGCGCTCTGAGCTACTCAGAAAATTTTAATGGCAATTTAAATTAATGCGCTAAACGCAACCCCAATCATGTGAAATTATTTGAAAATTGTAAAATTAGGAGAGAGCTGAACATCCAAAGATCTTATTTAAAAATATTTGTAATCTTTTTCATGGTAGTAAAATGAGGAAACGCGATTGATTTCTTAACTAAAACGTTTTTTAATAGAAACTGTTATAAAAGAATGAGGCATTAACATATTATTGCTCTATTTTGATAGCAACATCATAATAATTGAATTGAAATAATGATAATAATTGTTATGATAGTTTCAGTGTGAACACTATTGAAACTGCTGTTGTCACAACCCAATAGAAACAGAATAATGTTTGGACTATTGAATTTAAATAAAAGAAAATTGAATTTTAATTATAATTCTGAAACCACATGATCGAATTTTTGTCAGATTTCCCAAAAAATATAACTCGTAAACGAATTGCAGAATTATGATGAGATGCAGTATTTGCGTTTCCTAGAGCTAACTGGGACGATACCACTGAAAGCTACTACCAGTCTGAATACAGAAAGGTAAATCGGTACTATATTTATTTAAAGAATAAATAAATAAAGAATATTACGAACAGTTCACAACAAATGCTGAAAGTGTTCACCATTAACTTCGAGGTACAACTCAGAACGTCTCAACATGTTTTAGAAAAAGTTTGCCTATTCATTTGGTGTGCTTACCGCAATAGTGTTGCAAAAGCATATTTTCAGTTATTAAATCACACGTGATTTGTTCAAGTACATTTTAATCTATAAATTACTCCAAAAGTAAGAATTACAAGTGGACGGAGGATGGCAAACAGGGAGGCCATGCGCATGCAGAAACTGTATGCTTTTCTTCGAATGCTTCATGGAAGTACGCCATCGAAAACCGAGAAGTATATTTCACAGTACTATTTTGCTGAAAAACGCAAACTCCATTTCTTCCTCAATTAGCTGTACCATGAATGATTACAACAAATGTATTACTTACCCTTTAGAGTTTACGGTGCTATTATAAAAATAACGTTAACAATCCATATGATACAATGTACACAAAACGCCTTATTTTGAGTTATTTAGAGGCGTATTAGAGTATTTCCAGGGAGAATGTCTGTTGACTAACAGCGAGTGTTTTGAGAGTTTATGTCTCGCTTGTGTGTAAGTAAAAACCTAGGTTCAGATAACCATCAGCGAACTGAGAATGAGTAATCATTCTTAAGAATTCTTTCTTTTTGCGTAGAGTTTACATCAACCCAGCTTTCTACGTTGGGATAGGTGACTGTTTCAGCACAGTCTGGCAAGGTGTTTTAGACGTCTACTATTTGGGTGGAAAGAGGTTTGGATGGTTTTCGAGGACTTCAATGCAATCTCGCGAACACGGTGAATATTTTTCATCGAACGAACCGTATACAAATGGCTACGTTTAGTAGTAGCAATTGCTAAACCTGAAACTTTAAATTTGCCAATCATTTACTGGATAACACTTTTAGCAATGGCAAATGTTTCCGGATACTTTGCGCCGAACCTTTCATTTAGCATTACAAACAATAAACATCGCAAATAAATTTCGGCTTTAAGCACTCTTTATTCAATTGACAATAGTATTCTACGAGGCTCTATTTACAGCCGTTACTAGCAAGTGCCAACGAAATACAGACAAAAATAAATGACCGCGGAACATCAAATGCCATTGAAGAGACTCTCAATACCATTTTCGACATGATTCAGGATACAAGACCTCCTTTACCCCGACCACACTGTATTACTAGACCCAAAGATGTCTCAACCCCATCTGAGCTGCTAAATGACATGTTAAAGTCATAAAAAGAAATAGTATATTTAGTCTTGATATGGACAAGTGAGAGCCAATAAAAGGGGAATCAGCTAGAGCTTATTCTGTGTCTTAAACTTAAGAGAGAAAGTATTTTACCAGTCCGGAGGAAACGCAGACAGATAAATAAGATATTTAGAACCATTTCATTTAATACCTCACTAAATCGATCTCAAAATAGTTTTAATTTTACCAGATATTTCTCAAGAACTAAAATCCCCTTAGCGTTTCTCGACCGAAATCCCACAAAATTGATTCGGTTATTTCATTTATTGTAATATCGAATGTTTGACAACTCCCAAAGAGACGAAAGTAAACAGATCTATTCATTAAACAATTGCTTCGCATGAGTTTGATATTTAATTAACCCAAATCCCCCCCCCCGTCTCAACGAACACTTATATTTTTATCTCAATTTCAGCACTTAATTATAACGGTACCCAAGTAGTTACAGAGTTGTTTCCCATTATATGCCTTTCACAAAATCATTCTCCCAACGACAGCACCTTATATTGGGTTCCTCATACTGTTCTTCAAAGACTCACTTATATTTACAAATAAAGTAAAAAAAATTTCAGGACAAAATTATATCTGGCTGGTAAAATAAATTGAATGTATATTAATATCCAAAAGATAAATTTGATACTTATGTGTTTTCTCATGACAAAAAACAGCAAAATTTGCTAGTGTTACCATACTTCAATGAATAAATTTAAAATCAACCTGTTAATGACTGAATAACGAACTAAATGCAGAGAACCAATGCCCTTAAACACACACAAACGTCCCGAATGTCTACAAAACGAGCTTATATTTGCGAACGCATTTAAAATTTTTGACACCATCCACATGTGTGGCATCCCATAATAGCCAATAAGAAACATAAAAAAACGCTTAATGGTGATTGGTTGAGCTAAATATGTTTAGGCAAATTGTGATTTTCAAAATCAATGACAATTTTTAGGCAGCTGTAAACCCATGCCCGAATAAGTTAACTTACCGTTACCGAAGCAGAAAATCATCCCAAGAACCAAGAAAACCGGATGGTAGTTGAAAACCAACGTCGGATTGTTCCAATCATACCCACCATGGTAGTACCCCAGCCAAACTATACACATTATAACAGCCCCAAGTCCAAAGATCTAAAGTAGAAACATTTTCGGTTGATAATAACTGCACAAACAAAAGACACCCATAGCGTTATTCGGTTATTGTTGTATGTTAGCTTTAATCATCAGCTAAACAAATCTGTTAACAGCTTTTTACTGAAAAAAGCAAAATAGAAATTTTATTTACAACGCAATAAAGAACTGTGCTAGAAATTTGTTATCAAATTGCCGTCAGGGTTTTTTGGAGCTAAAATAAATCAGGCTGATTGAGTGAAAATGTTATCGTTTGAGTTCCAAACCTCAAGTTAAGGTCTGGACATTTTGAAGCATTACGATTCTTTTCAACTAGCTACTTTTGACTATTAAAAAGTAAAAATCTGTTAAAAGATTGCTATCAGTTACTCAATCGAATTAAGTGACTCAGTCTCCAAACATTACTAAAAAGAATTCCGGAAAGTAGTGCTTAAATCTTTGAAACATGACATTAAGATATTACGATATAATGCTGTTTTTGGTGACCAATCTCGGTACTCTGATTCACAACGACACTATTGATCCAACACTTTCGAGCTATTTCATTGCTATTCGTGTTCAATTGCCTTTCTGGGAAAATTAACGGTTGGTTTTACGCTTTACTAATAGAAATAAAATCATAGACTTCGATTTGTTATAGGAATTTGAAAATAACTGTAAAAATGACGAAAAATTGATCGAATTGATAAAAATATTTCAAAGCATGTGGGTAATTCTTTCACTTTTGAGTGCGTCGTATCTACTTAGCGCTATTTCAAAAGCACCTTTTAATATAATTTCGTGGGGTGTGCTATAGACTTACCTCCACGTGGTGCACCCTGGGCAACGTATACTCATACGGCAAAAAAAGTCTATTAACCGGCAGTTGACTTCAAACTACCAGA